TGTTGCAGGGGCATGCAAAAGTGGTGGGCACAGTATATGGAAAGTAAGGGAGAACTGAGGGCTGCACGTTTATACTATCAGTACGCCAAGGATTACTTATCAGTTGTTCGCTTGCTCTGTTACACCGAAGCCATTGATGAGGTGAACGAGGCTGTTGCTTCCCTTCCCCGATCCCTGACTTACTGCCATACTTTTTCGGAATTATTCCTTCTTACTTTCATCGCCTAAAAGAAGCAAACAACAGAAACCCAGGCTGGAACACACCAGGCTCTCCGGTGCGGTCATGCGTTTTTGCACTAAACTCGTTGACCCGCTATTAGCAGAAATGATCCCTACGCTGTAGCCTAAAATTTGGGTCATATTGGCCGTGCTTGATCCTCTCCGGCATGCAGGAGGAAGGGCTTCAGTTGGGATGAAGGTGGTGCATTATAGAGCCACACGGACATCCAGGTGCATAATTATCGGTTTTTTGCATGAAGTCCGGTCGTTTTTTCGGTGAATGCTCGCTTTGTGAAAAAATAACAGATGCAAATTTTTTGGAAAATGCAAAGTTCCACATCGCTAAAAAGTGAAAGTATTGCTCGAGGGGTCGTTTGTCAAAAAATCCATGTTCATTTACACGCACGATTGCAGTTCAGGCCCGAGTTGCAAACGATTTTCTTGAAAAAATGCAAATTTCCAGTTCATTGAAAATTGAGAGTATTGCTCGAACGGTCGTTTGTCAAATAATCCATGTTCATTTACATATACGATTGCTGCTCAGGTCCGAGTTGCTAACGATTTCTGGGATGAGAAGCTGCTTGAGGCTGTGGTTGGGATGCCCGACAGCTGAGTTTAAAATCTTTAGCTCGCACGTGCAAAGATAATACCCCTGCGAAGTTTCGGCTTTCTACGTTGCTTGGTTCGCGAAATCGTTTCCCGCCAACATATTTCTTTGGAGGTCCGGTACGCGAGGTCTAGGCACGTGTGGGGAAAGATCTTAAAACGGGAGGATGACACACGATGTAGGAACATATATCCAAAGTTTCAGCCTCCCAGCTTTCCTGGTTGCTGAGATGAAAGTCCGGTGACAAAATGCACTCGCTTTCCGAACACACACACAGACTGCCTCTCGACAATATGCGTTTTTGCTGGTTGTAGCAGCGCCATAGCTCTGCACAGCAAAAACGCGTAAAAACTGCTGATAAATGTCTTTCACATAAACCATACCTAATTATGCGTTTTTGCATATATGCAAAAACACATATTGTGACGACCCCGGTGTGTGTATGTGTATGTGTGTATGTGTGTGTGCTTGTGTGTGCGTATATATGTGCGTCTGTCCGAGTGTTTCAACTCGGCACCCAAGTAAGCTCAGGCGCCAAAATTTTACGAATGGGTTCCCCAGCTAAGTGCCACCCCAGGACCGCGGTATCAATCCTCAAGCACGTTTAGGCCCCGCGCACGAGCGTCTCAAAATTTTGGCGGGAAAATCGCTAATTTGGGAACCAGAAAAGCTAGAAAGCTGAAATTTTGGGATTATATTCCCCGTCCATACAGAACTCAAAGATTTTAAATTTAGCCCTCAGGTATACACGTCTCCCGCGTATACGGCCCCGTGAAGGTTCTTGGCGCGAAAATCGCTAGCTTGAGAACCAAGAAAGCTGGGAACCTGAAACTTTCAGAAAATGTTCCCAACTCATCTACAAATTAGATTTATCAAATTCAGTCTCCCGCTATGCGTGGTTGCAAAGTACGGCCCTGTG